ATACTTTAGGCTTTGTCTAACTGATCTAGACAGTCTGTGGCTGTAGATGCTTGAGGTGCTCTGGTGTCCCAAATCCTACCGAGCAGAGGGCAGAAAGGGAGGCCTGCCTCTAACCTGAGACGTGTGCACCAAAAGGAACAGGAATGGCTAGATTTCTGGCAGAACTCCAGCTCCAAATTGCAGCCTCCTCTAGGGAGGTTCCCTTGCACCGCTTGTCTCCTTTGAGACATTCATCTGTGCTACCAGGTAAAAATTTAAGTATGAGGGCACATAAGACTTGCAGTTATTGCTATTTCTGACTTCAGCTTGAAATGAAGCAATTTTGCTGAAGAACGTATTTTCATTATGAAGTTTGGAGCTTATTTGGCTAAATGCATTTCCAGGGAGGAGGAAAGCTTACCACTTTATATATCTGACTAAAACTACAGCTCTTTCTTGAATCTAGCTATCAAATCCAGTGATTAGCTTGAACTTTTCCTCAGATGTAATCTCTAGCTGTGGACTATAATAGTTGTATTCAATTCTAGCTACAGATAACCTACTGTCTAGTTCTGTGGAGAATGCAGATCAAGGAACTTTGCCCACCTTAGGTACCAAACTACCTGCACTGCAACGCTCTGCATGTTCCACACCTCTTACTCAAGCAAATCGTTGCACCAAAGAGCAAGACTACAGGCCTAAATCAACTGGTAGAAAGACTCCTACAATGGCCTCCCCAGTACCAGGAGGCCCTTTTCTCCGTCCTGTTCATCAAGTACCCCTTGTTCCCCATGTACCAATTGTACGACCTGCTCATCAACTGCATCCAGGATTGGTCCAGAGAATGCTGGCCCAGGGGGTTCATCCTCAACATCTTCCTCTACTGCAAGCAGGTAATGCCTTAAGGGAAAAACTGTCTGAATGTTCTCTACAAGACTTATTTTGCTTTAGAAATGGTACAAATTGATACTCATTACTGACAATATTTTTTATCTGTAAAAGGAGGCAATGTATTCCAACACATGTTATTATGTAAATGCTTGTTTTCCTTAAAGCTTTTCATGCCTGTCAGGCTGAAAAGCTTCTTTGCTCTTGCCCAGCAGGTATGCTTCCTCCTGGAGTGGATCTCTCTCACTTGCAGGGAATATCTACCCCCATCCTTGGCCAACCTCTTTATCCACTACCAACAGCCAGCCATCACATCTTAAACCCACGCTCTGGGACACCTTTGCAACTAGCAATGATGCAACAGCAATTACAGCGCTCAGGTAGGCTGAAATGTAAAACAGGAACGTGAGGTTTGAAAAGGCTGACTAACCTGCTCCAGGTAGTATCCTTGTTGGCTTGTTTCAGTAGACTAAATGAACAGGGAACTACTTCAGTACCCACACAAAATTAGGGCCTATCAATGTGTAAAATAGTTCTGACCACTGCAGGTCTTCATGCCAGAGCAGAGCTGAAATGAAGCAGTTTAATGATGTATCTTGCTTTGATGCATCTGGTTTTTGCAGTGTTGTGAATAGCACTCTCTTTGAAGAGCATTTTGCTGCTGGCTGAGTAAGGCTCACTAGCATGCACATTGAAAATAAAGGGTTCTCAGATGCTGGTCTTCCAGTTAAAACCAATGTGATGCAGGCTCTGGAATCAGCCATGTCAGATGATTTACAGAAATAACAAGAGTAAATACAGGGCAATCAAGGTGAAGTCTGAATTTCCCAGGACCAGTAGTGTTGTTGCCACATTCAGCCCGTGTATGATACGTGTACCGTGTGACTGCTTTAGGACAAATTTGTGCTCTTGGGTGAACTTACAACTCCAGCTCTAACAGCTTTACATTCCACAGGCACTGGCGCACAGGGATCACCAGCTGGTGTGCAAAGCACCCCCCAAAATGTGCCGTCTCGGACTGGATTATCTCATGGGCACACACAGCTCGACCATCGCCCCAGCCAGAGAAGTGGCTCTCCCATTGGCCTTGCCAAGTGGTTTGGTTCAGATGTCTTGCAGCAGCCTCTCCCCTCCATGCCATCCAAAGTCATCAGTGTTGATGAACTGGAGTATCGGCAGTGAGCAGTGACCGCTGGGTGGGACACTTGTGCTTCTTTAGACTGGATAAGAATGTCCATAGTCAGGACTTCACCTCTGTTTGTTTTTTGGGGGTTTTATTTTTAGCACTCTGTGCAAAATTTCTTTTTGAGAGACTAAAAGCACATGGCACCTGTCCTGGTCTCATGTCTGCATCAAGACTAAAGGATCCATTATGGCTTAAATAGTGAAGCCTGAAGAAATTTAGATGCAAGACAAAGCCAGTTTAATCCTGGAAGTGTCTATTTTTTGTTTTTGTAAGATATGTGAATGAAGTGCTGATATTCTCTAGTGTAGAGGTAGCAGCTATGGATTCCTCCTGCAGAAAACTAAATGTATAGACCCTTGTGTACAGACTATGTATAAACAATCTTTTGTATATATACACATAGAATAGCTTTTTTGAATCTATACAGCTGTACATAAGAGTAGCTGATAACAGTTGAGCTTTAGTTGTGCCTATGGTTTGGATTTTTCTCCATTGTACATGTGGGACTTTCTTTGAGATTAAAATTGCATATCCTAAGTGCGAGTGAACAGGATAAAGTTGCTTTGCCTTTTCTTGCTGCTCATCTCCTGAGTCTCCCTCTCAAGCACATCCTTCTGTCGTGTACTGTGCATTCAGTGTAGCTGAAGTGTCAAAGTAAAAAGCCCACGTCTTGCTGTCTGTAGAACAAAGGTCTGATCCCGTGTGTGTGACTCTTGCCATCAACTGAAAGAACTGCTTAGTCTTCAAACTGCCTTGAGGCTGGGACCTGGTACAGTAATGACAAAGCTACTTCATCCGTTTGCCATAAGCAAAGAGACTGTAGGTACCTGTTTGGTCACAGTTCTCTCGAGGGGGCTGGTGCTGGTCCTTGCTGGGCTGCAGTATTTTCCTTGTTTTAATCTTTCAAGCAAGTTGCTAAAGGTCATCAGAACGGAGCCTTGAAACCCTCACCCTTCCACTCCTCTGTCATAGCTGTGGTATGTTCTATACTGCCCTCAATTCTATTTATAGAAGGGAGTCCCAAGAACAGCCCTAAATCTAGGGTGCATCTCCTTGGTGCAGTTACTGTGAAACTTGCCTCTGGAGTCTTGTTCTGTGGCGTGAAAGGGGGAGGAGGGGTAATTTTGTGATCTTACTGTGTATATTTAGTTTTTAAATACTATGTTCCTTTTAAGCCTGTTTCACTTTCCTGAACAGTTAAGTGTTCTTTTCCATCTTCCTGCATGGTTCCTCACTTCACCTTCTCACTTGTGTTGAGTCTAGTACTGCTGTCATGTCTTCTAGCTTAGGCCCTTGTGCTCTTTTTTAGAAAAAGGAAAAAAAAAAAAAAAAAAAGTAAAAGCAAAACCAGAATTCTCACAGACTTGCTCTTTCTTAAGTCTCACTGAATGCAAAACCAGCAGCAGAAAAATCACTTGACTGTATTATAACAATTGCCAGCATGCTGTGGTGGGTTTGTGTCAGTCTACCAGAGACAACAGTGTACAGAAACAGCAAGTTGAAAGCTCCAGCGTGGAAGCTGTTGGGGGTCACCCCTACTTCTAGTGGTTGTTCATGCAACAATCTCTGTAAAACATGCAATCACCAGCTTGTCCTTGTAAGATTGTTTTCATACTTTTTTAACTTGACACTTTCCCAGTAACATTCTGTAAATAAAGTCAATTCTACCAGCTGTCTGTATCAACTGCTCTTATAAAACTTATTTGGATAGACTGTCACCATAGTATATCTGTGTAAGCTCCAGGAAAAGGTTTCCAGGGGAGTAGGTCCTGCTCCCTGGAGTGCTGTAGTGTGTAGCTTACCCTGTTCTGCTGTTCATCTGCTTCACAGGAGCTAACCCACCTCACAGAGGACAGGCCCAGGAGCTGCAACTGACCCTGTAACAAGAATTGTAGCTTTGAACTAAAGGCTAAGTACAGAGAAGGATGGAGTAGTCTACCAGACACCTTTATTAAAAAGCAAAGTGAGCTCTAGGGCCAGTGCTGGATTGTCCCCTTCACTATCTCTAGTAAGTAGTTGGCTTAGAGGAGTGTAGGTGGGGAAGCATACTGTACTGTTTAGAATAAATAGTCGAAGTCTTGCTTGGACTGCTGCCTTGCTGTCAAATACTACTTCTGTGGCAGTGATTTAATGTTGAAATCTGTTTGAAGGAGCTGCAGGTACAGCTTTTACTGAGTTATAAATTAGTGAAGTCAGAGGCGGCACCTGACAAGTAGTCCTTGTTTTCTAGGAGGAAAGTACTAGAGGCGAATAAATGTGATATAGCTTCACAGTGAACAGAAAGCCTACCTCCATTCCTTTTGAGAGCAATAACACTGCTACTTTAAGAAAAGCCTGCTTTTACTGAGTGATTAACTTCAGAGAAGTCAGTAAAGCAGCATTCTGCTTTTTTAGAGAGAGCTTAAGAGCTTCTGCACCCTAACAGCCCTATCCAGGCATCTAGTTTACTTTTCCTGGTACAAACAATATTACTACTTAATAAGCAGAACCTAGCAGCTCTTCCACAGCTGCAGAAAACTCACCTGTATGTATTCACACAGGAACAGGGCAGCTAAAAGCAAGCAAGACTAACTTCTACAAGAATTCTCCTGTAAGATACTGGTGTCTAGCTTCTGTTTTCAGTACTTAGTTCTAAATTGGAACTGGCAATTTCAGCTCTGTGAATGTTCTAATTTGGAAAAAGGTACATATACAGGCAGAAAAATATCATGGTGGGTATTAAAGCCTCCCTAGGGCATTTTGCCTGCAATTGCCAGAGTTATTTACCTTGAGTTTCTCCTCTGTACAGTCCGCTGGAAGGGGACAGTACAGTACATGCTGGCCAAAAACATTTTCCATGCAGTAAATTACTACCCTAAAAGGTGCTATCCCCTTGTTAAAGGTGTGATAAAAATGTGGCCTATTTTTTTGCCACTTACAACTTGATGAAGTCAGGTACACTGGCAAGTATTTGTGAGAACAACTTTATTTCTTCACAATCTGAATGACATCTTCATCCTCAAGAGTATGATCTTTGCCAACTTTCTGAGGGTTGTGTTTAACAGATGAACCCCAGACCAGTGCACTGCAAGGGGAGGAAAAAGGAGAGAGAAAAAAAAGAAATAGTTAAAAAGGCTATGGAATTTAGTAAGCAGTCAGCTATTTATATCACAGGCCTAATAGAGAAAGCAATGCTTAAGAGCTATTTTTGTTGCTCTACAAGTACCTGGATGAGTGGTCTGTTTGAACTAGAGCACAAACAAACCAAAACAAATTGTGAAGTCATTTAAAAATATTTGTATGTAGAGGATATGGCCCATAGCACTGCACCCAATGTTACTTTGAAGTTTAAACATTTTTCTTTAAAGAAAGTTAAAGGAAGTGAAGTTTAAAGAAAATTCCTTCCTGAGGAGGAAACTGGACTAGTAAAGAGTATAGAAACATTAAATACAATAATTTAGGTATCAAGTTTAGAGTTTCATGGGGAGATCTTTTCTACTCAACATCAAAACTGAATCCTGTTTTCCCTTCCAGCTTACAGGAGTGAGAACATACTAACAGGTGGATTATTTCTTGTATTCCCAAAAGGATTCTTTTACATTAGTCCTTACTATTTGAAGTCTTTAATGAGATTTTTGTGGATCTTCATGCAAAAATCCTCTACGGTAGTCTTGCAGTAAGGTAGTACTACAGGAGAGGTGTAGTCTGGAAGCTGCCCTTTAGGTTTGGTGTAGCTGTAACACAGGCAGAGCAATTGTCACTAAGTCCAACACAGTTCCACAGTTCCAACTCTTATGAAATTCTGAACTCATCTATGTAAGGGAAAAACTGACAAAATCCCTGAAAACTAGAAATGCTACATCTCCTTTGCAGTTTATTTTTGCAAAGCAAACTAGTTTTTGCTTGCAAAAACAGTTTTTGCAAGCAGCAGCACACACATTTAAAAGACAACTGTGCTGTATTATTTCATTTTTATGCATTTGGATCTACTTATGGCTATGGGGTAAGCCTGATCATAGTTAAATAAGTAAAATGCCAGATGAAAACCTTAATTCAGTGCTATTAAGAGAACTGAATGCATAATGTCAATGGTGACAGTAAAAAAAGACTACCTCTGGAATTCACCTCTGCACTGAATTTGACTACACAGACTTTTTAGAAAACTTTTTTTAATATACAAATGTATCTAACAATCATGATTGCCCCATTCTTGAGTTTCAGCCTTACATCTAACACCACAGAAGGCAACAATCAGGACTCACATTCGTACGAGCTTCAAGTAGTCCCAAATCTTCTCTAGCAAATCATCAAAGTTCCAGCGATGATGAGCAGATATTGGGACGCAATGGGGTACCTTGTAAATGATATCCAGTTCCTCGATGGAAATCTGGTCAATTTTATTCAGCACATAAATGCATGGGATATAAACCCTGCAAAGAGAAGGCAAGAGCGATTCAGCAGTCTAGCAGCAAAGCACTGCTATTTTCCCTGCAAAAGAACAGCAGCATTTTGGAAAAGGTCAGTAGGGTGCTGAACAGCATGTGCTGATAGCACATCACTGCCTTGGGTCTAGCACACTTGAGAGGAATCTTTTCCCTGTAACCTACATTGTAAGTAAGGCAAGTGTCCCAACAGTACCTGTTTCCTTCAACCACATCAATGAGGTCGTCGGCGGTGGCGTCGCTGCGCAGCGTCACGTCGGCGTTGTGAATTTTATACTCTGCCAAGATGCTCTTCACTGTTTCGGTATCCAGCTCACTCTGAGGGCACTGAACAAGCACACGGGGTTAGGCAAGGCATCGTGGAGCCTACGTCAAATCACCCCCCCAATTACTGTGTATATGTTACTAGATGTGATTCTGCTACGGTTGGTTTGTAAAGAAAGAAAAGAGATTTAAATCACAACAACTTGACTTCAAATCAGCAGTTTGCAGCCAGCAATTATGTTATCTCAAATGTGAAGTTTCCAGTCATTTTGGAACTACTTTCTATAGAAACTTCCTTATGTCCTAGTTCAGTACCAAGACAACTAAATATTAGATAACTTAATCCCACAGATATTTCGGTATCTATGCCTATTCCAATGAATGTTTAATGGAAAATGAAGTGTAGCCCAGGAAAGTAACTGACTGCAGCCCACTGCAGCAGTTCAGAAGTCACAGCACAGGAATGGGCTCAAGTTCCCTTCACTGCAAAAGCATCTTTCTGCAAAGAAAATTTCCAACTTACCGTGGCAGTAAGGTTAATGCCACCTTTATCCTTTTTTTTGAAGCCAATATTGGGGGGCTTACTATTCAGGCGTATCCCAAATCCCTCCAGTTCATTCTCAATAATTTTCTTGTGCCCAAGCGGTTTCAACACATCCAGAACAATTAGAATGAGGTTACAGGTTCGGGCAACTAAGAATCAGAAAAAGAAAACCACCCCTCAAAAAACTACACTCATGCACCAGTATAAAATAGCACCAAAGGTGGCTTAGTGCCTTGACAAGAACATTAAAGTTATAAAGGACAGTACTTTTTGTATTTTTTAATTTCAAAGTAAAACTGAAGTTGTGATGTTGTTCGAGCATCACACCAACGGACCAACAAACTTGTACATGATGCAAGGTCCAGCATGCTGAAAAAAGCTTTTTTCCTGTCTATATTCCGATACCAAAAATGTAACAGTGAACTTGGTAAAGAAATTAACACAGCACCCTTGTTTCATGTGAGGTCTTATCTGCCTTTCAAATTAGTGATAGACTTCCAGTGCAGTGTCAACACACAGCACAAACTCATCAAATGCATAAAGCCATAACTGAAAACCGAGCAAACTGAAAACAGCTACTGCAAAGCAACCAAGCCTCAATAAATCATTGTTTCTAAGATATCAGAACTCACGATTCACCCATGGATTTTTATAAGCTGTGCTACCTTAGCCAGTAACGGGATGCTGCCTGGAGCTTTCTGCAAGGCCTGAGGCGCTCACCTGCAATGACTTGTCGTCCTCTGCCTTTCCCATCCTTGGCGCCTTCAATTATTCCTGGGAGATCAAGAAGCTATTTTTTCAGAGGAAAAAAAGTAACCCATGAGAAAAGTGTATCTCTGCAAGGAGAAATAAAGCTCATTTTTACCTTTTCCTAAAGCAGTTCACTGCAGTTCTGCACAGAACATGGCAGAACCGTCTCCCCATGGATGTAAGAACACTGGATTATCCCCAATCCCCCACTGCTGCAATGGAATAGAACAGGCAATGTCAAACAAAACAAGACAGCTACTGCAGGAACTTCCTCCCAGAACAAAGTTAAAAATAAGGTTAAAATCAGCACCTCACGGGAGTATCTCCAATGTGTTTTAAGTGTTTCTGTGTATTACTTATGACCTGCTTGTGTTCAGTCCTACTAACGAGGCACAACACGGCACGTGCCCTTGTGTGCAGTCACCAGATCTCACCTGTATCTTCGCTCCCTTGTACCTAATGACGCCGGGCACGGTTGTCAGCGTGGTGAACTCGTAGGCCGCCACCTCGGAGTACACGCCGGCCAGATTGCTTAGGAGAGTGGACTTCCCCACCGATGGAAACCCCACAAACCCAATGCGGGCATCGCCTGTCTTCGCAACGTCAAAACCTGCAGAGGAGGAGTAAGAAACAGATATAAAGTCATTTAAATTGGCCACTTGCCATCTTTGAGGGCTCTGGCGAGCTGTCGCGCCCGGCCGCGGGACAGCGCCGGGCCCAACGCACCTTCGCCGGGGCCGCCGCCGCCGCCGCCCTTGGGGGTGATGAGCTCGCGGCGCAGCTTGGCCAGGCGGGCCTTGAGCAGCCCCAGGTGATGCGCCGTGGCCTTGTTCTTCTGCGTGCGCGCCATCTGCAAGAGCACGGCCCGCCGCCGTCACCGGGGCGGCCACCGGGGCGCCGCTCGGCCGCGGCCCCCCGAGGCGGCGCGCGCCGTTACCTCGGCCTCTATCTCCGCGATCTTCGCCAGGGTGCCGCTCATGGCGCCGCCGCCGCTGCCGGCGCCGCGGGCGCCGCCACACGCGCTCGCAGAACCGCCGCCGCCCCGGCCCGGCCGCCGCCGCCGCCGTGCGCAGGCGCCGCCACAGCTCTCGCGGGAGCGCCCCCAACTCTCGCGAGAGGCCGCGGCGGCACTCCCTCCACCCCTCCACGGGCGGGAAAGGGCCCGCGCAGCAGCGCCCCCTGGGCGGCTGCGGGGCGTCCCGGGCCGGGGGCAAGGGGCGCGTGAGGCGGCGTCGCGCGACGCCCGTGAGGCGACAGCGCGAGGCCCCGTGTGAGGGCGAGGCGGCCGCCGCGAGGCGAGACCGCGTGTGAGGGAGCAGCTGGAGGGCGCGGGCGGCGGGAACCCGCCATGCTGCCGCCACACGGTGGCAGCGGCGGCCACCTCCGCCCGGCACTTCCCTGTAGCCGCCTGTTGCCGACCAGGTGTGTAGAGGTGCCCCAGCCCTCTGGAGCCACTAACGTTTCTCCAGTGCGTAGATATAACTGAATCTTTTTTGTGTTCCTATGTATATATGTATAGTTTTAATGGCTTCTTGAAAGAGACTTGCATCTCCAGCTTTTGACAATTTTCACAACAGGAGGAAATAAGGTGGTTGGGTTTTTTTCCGTTTCATTTTTTTTCAAGTTTATTCCCCTGTTTCTTTTTTTTTTTTTTTTTTCTTCCCCCTTCCCTGGGTAGGAATAGTTTCAGGAAGGCTCTGCTGCCTCAATTTATAACCAAGTCAGCTTTTATTTAAAATATCTAAACGTAAAACTCGTGTGAAACATGTTTTTAAATGATAAGGTAGTCTCCCTGGCCCATGTTGTTGAAGTGATTATATTGTCACAATTGCAGAATTGCCTGCCCTGTCTTGAACAAAATTCAGAATATTGTAAGATTGTAAAATTTAATAAGATTATTATAGTAACAAAATTGTTGCAGGTCACTAAGTATTCCTTAACTTCTACTGAAAAGAAAAGGCAAGAAGTAGCACAGTGGAAATCAAATTGTTTTCTATGGTTTGGTAGTCACATTGGCTACCTCCTTGTGGCTCTTTATAGCCCCTTTTTGTCTCATCTTAAGAATGAAAAAGCTGCCTACTATAAACTCTTTATAGTAGACACTGCCATAAATACAAGCTTATACAGAGTCTTCTAAAATAGAACCAGAAATAAAAAAAAAAAAAAAGGGGGGGGGGGGGAGGATGCTATTCTTGGTAACATTAGGTCAGCTAAGGTAGGTTAAATATAAATGCACCTATGACTGTGTATTTGTTCATGGTTTTCTAATTATTCCTTGTGAGAAAAAAAAAAACTTTTTTCAACATATAACAGACTTGGTGTAGATGTTTTTCTTATTTATTTCGGATGGAGTTGGACTTGTTTATGCCTCAGCTGAATTCAGTTATACAAACACTCAGCATGTTTCTGGTTTCTTTTAGTGATAGCAAAAACACTGAGGAAAAGGCAGACTCCAAATCCTTGGTCTGAGGTTTAAGACCACCTTTGCTTCTGCAGCAGATGTCAACTAAATTCAAAACTTCTTGCTAGCAACAGCAGGAGGAGGCTAGCAAACTAACTCAAAAACCCATTCACTCTGTCAAACCGAAAATCTCCTCTAGGGCTTGGGCTAAAGGAGTAAAGAAACCAATAAAATAACTTTGGAGTTTTAAGGTTGCTGAGTGGATTTGTTTTATGTTTTTGTTTTCTGGTTTAGGTACTCATGGTCTTCTTACCTCAGAATTCTCAGTATAGTTTAATTTTTTTTCCCCTATAAATTCCTAAAGCAAAAGTCTTTTGAGGAATTTAGGCACCCGACCTCTATTTATTTATTTATTTATTTATTTATTTATCTTTAAGTATTGGATATCATCCCTAATGACTCAAAGAAAGTCAAAGCTTAACACAGAGAGGTAATTTGTCCAAGCCAACCAGATGAATGCATTCTAGCTGGACAGGGTATTTTGAACAGATTTTACCAGCTTATAACAGCAGCTTCTTTGAAGCCTCAAAATGGCTTATTCAAAATAAATTGATTCCAGGTTGTTAGCAGAACGTCATTATTTCTCTTTACTGTGACAACTGTCTAACAGAACATAGGGTTTTTTTTTTTTCCAAATAAATGGTGTTTTATATATGTGGTACTTGGCCAAAGAAGTGGTTATAAATATGGGAAGTTAGATGTGACAATGGGGAAGTGGCTGCATGGTGGGTAGTTGGGAATGGATAAATGAAGTGCAGTTAGAACTGGAAAATAGAGTGGGAATGATGAAAGTTTAAATTTAAAAAAAAAAAAAGAGTCTACACAACAGCTATAGGAGGAAAAATCAGGGGAAATGTTCATAGAAAAAAATGGGTTAGGATCAGAAAGGAAAAAGCCCCCAACTGAACCTGAAAGAAAATTAAAGGAACTGCAAAAGCCTGAGGTCTCCTCGATAGATTAATTAAGCTTTATAGTGGGTTTTGAGGGAAGATAGAGTACGAAAACTGCCTCCTTTTTTTCTTTTTTTTTTTTCTCTTAAAATGTATATGCATTTTTTCAGTTGAGGGAAGAACTCAGGAGTTCAGTAGAGGGAATTTTTTAGGAAATCTTGATGAAGTGAGAGAGAGGATATATTTCCAAAAGCTGCAAATTGCACAGCTCTGCATTCACTCCCTTAGGTGGCCTAGTAGTTTATATTTGTAACATAATGATTAAACTTGTGAGTGTAGAAAAAAATAGCAAATAGTCTCATGAATTACTGACTGATAAGCTTAAAGTGTAGAACATAGGCACTTTATAATACTTTAAATTATGTAAGGAAAGCAAAATTCTAGAGGGCATTTAGGAAAGGCAAGGAAATGCACAAGAAGCAAAGACTTTTTCATCAGTCAATCAAGAAACATGACACAATATGGAATCAGTGATTAAAAAGTGAAAGAATTCCAGTTTCATCAAGCTAGTGACAGGAATGAGATTAAAATGGCTCCTACCTCATTAGCAAAATCTGAATAATAGTGAACTGTAGCAAGACCTGTGTACTCCGCACGCTCCAGTCCTGCAGACTCGTTGATTTTGAGCAAGCCGTTTCTTCTTCTTGTGCCTCAGTTTTGCACGACAGGAATGTGCGCTACCCTCACAGTGATGGAAACTTTAGTGTTTCTATACTGCTGTCCTCTTAAGTGCAATCATGGTAACCATGGATCACTTCAATAGCAGAGCTGAGCAGAAAAAGCATGCGGTTTGTTTTCTGTCAAACCACCAATTTTAAATTGGCTTTTTCATTATGGGCCAAATTCTGAAATTCCTTCTCGGACAGCACTTACCTTAGCTTGAGTAAGGCTTTTACCACATAAGGAGTAAACTGAGTGTGTTGCCATATGGCTTGCAAGTCTTTTGGATAACTATTGTAAAACAGACGGTAGTAAGTATATGAATTATTTGTGATAACATCTGGGTAATGTATGCTTCATTAAAATCACCCAGAGAGACTTCTTTAACAGCAATGTTTGATAGCCTGTTTATTTTTTTTTTCTTTCCCTGCTCTTCTGTTCTAGCAAATAAGTTCAATGGCAGAATGCTTGTGGGTATCACGTCCATTTGCACTGCACTTAGCTAGACCATTTAGCCTGAGAGCACCCTGATAGTACCTGCTGCACTTGTTTGGGCAGTTCACCATGTCACAGCAGCTACACAGTATATTGGAAAACTTGCATTGCTGATAGGTGTATCTTTATGGACTTCCTAAGGACAACATTTCTAGCTTTGTGGTAGAGATGATAAGCATTTTCTGCAAGACTTAAAAGGCAGAGGGAAGGGGCGGGGGAGAAATTAACTCATGATTACTTGAAATTTCATATTCTCTCAGAAGTTCTCACCAGCTTAGTGAAAAATACCTGTATACAATGATAACATTGAGCTGAGTACATGGGATTTTAAGAATTATGGGTATGGGGCTACAATCAACCTGTTAGAGTACCTTCATGGAAAAGAGGTAACTAATACATGAGGCATGTAGAGAGCCTGTTTATTTTGAGACATTTCTCTTGATATTTTCTCTTGTATATATTGTACTTGGTGTGAGAAATGACCACTAATTAACCCTATTATTGTACTTCATAGAAGAACTGCTCGTGCGGTGCGGAAGAGAAGATGGGACTTTCAACATGGTGCATATGAAGTGACTAAGAGACAGTCTCATACCAGTTTGGAGGAAGGATATTTTAAAATCCTACTATCGAAAGGTAAGATTTTGAGATGTGAAACCTGACTGGGGAGCCCTAGATGGAACCAAAATATCAGTTGCCTGAAGTGAAGTTCTTTTTTGAAGCTGACACTCTTCACGTCTTAATTGAATCTTGATGCAAAGGCATAAGGGTGTATGCCTTTGAAATCCTGTTAAGAATTACAGATGCATAAGTTAGTTCTGTCTTCCAGAATTAACTTTTTAAGCTAATTCATTTGTTGTTTATGGAGAAGTTGTTCTTCTTGGGACAGCAAAATTGTTCACTTATTAATCTGTAAGTGCCAAAAATTTACTACTTGCATAGCATATTTAGAAATGCACTGAACTGTGTGATTTTTCATGAGAAAGTCCTCTGCCAGGTTTGCTTAGCTAGATGTGGGTGCCTAATTCATACAGAGTCAATTAGGTGGAACAGGAAGCCTAGCTTATGTTCCCATTTTGACGAGATCCTTAGTGTAGTACTCTTGTTTTGAATGGCTTAGGCTACTTTGGTTTCAAACAGTCTAGAGTATGTTAAGATGGCCAGAGTGAAGAAATGAAGGGAATCAGAGAGATAAATATCCACAGTTGGCTTCTAAGACCACGTTAAATTAGTTTATTGACAAAAGTTGTTTGCAGTTCAGCATCAACTTTCCAGACATTTATTTATTTATTTATTTATTTCTGTATTGGCCTGCTCAATGGCATGTAAGGGCAGTGAGGGAATTGATCAAGAGGAAGACAAGTGAAAAGTTCAGTTTTCTCTTTATAAAATAACTTTCACTGCATACTTTTCATAGAACCATTTATCTCCGTTTAAGGAGTAGCTGTAGTTTTTGTGAGAATACTAGGTATTTTTAAACAGGTGAGGAGGAAGCTAATGAATTACTAACCCATTTCTGGATGACAGAGCAAACTGCTGCCTCCAATTCTGAGTTCAGGTTAGCTTCATCAAGTTAGCGTTCTCATGGGATCATTCCCAATAAAAAATGGAGTCAGTTTTAAAAAATAAGTAATAATCAACCTAATAAGTAATAAATGCTGAATTAATTGCTTGTTAGAGCAGTAGCAGTTAATTAAAATTCCTGTGAAAGATCGGGAAAAAGAAAAGACATCTACTCCCTGAAATTGTTAAGTATGCCATGAAATGCCCAATGTTATATATTTATGTGAAACAAGGGATATGCTTCACATGACTATTAGCTGGCATAAGTACTGTGTAGAAGAGTCTCTGCTAGCATAATAAGCTATATGAAACAGTGACTAACTAAGCTTCTTAAAGAATATTGGAGACTGTTTTGAAAACAGTTTGGTAGCCTCAAGACCTGTACAGAAACATGAGCTGAGAATGTTCAACAAATACATATGACTGAGATATGTTTGCATAGCCGCAATGATAGCCAGGTCCTTAACACTGAGCATTTCATGGCGGACATGCAACTTCAGAAAGTAGCTGTCGTTTTTTTCCTGTGTGTTCACTGGAATTTTAGTATTTGTGGACCAATTTAAGGTTTGCAGTTCTGGGTAAGGCCAGTAGCAACTGGTCTGCAGAGAAGTGAACAATGTATAGTAAATACAGTCCCAAATGGTATACACATGTTCAGAGCAAAAGATGATTTTTTTAATACTATTGAAATACCAACAAAACTGCTTCAGCGGGGACCAGACAGCTGCAAAACATTTGGGGACAGCTCATGAATTCCCATGAGCGTAAGTGAGACAGGAAATAGAGAGAAGCTGAATAAAGTAGCTGGGGAGAAAGCCTTTACTAAAAAGAGAGATGTATTAACAAATTCAGCAGATCCATGTGCTGAAGAAGGCAAAGAAATCAGGAATCATCTGAAAAGGGGGCTAAGTTTCGTATACTGAATTCGTCACTCTTATTCTAATTTAAAGCAGTATTTTGCATCATCTGGGATATTGTCTCCCAAAAAGTAACTAGCTAGTTTGTTGATAAACTAATTCAAGGGTAATAACGCTTGTATACTACCGTAGTACAGTATAGGGAAATAATATTTAGCCACCACATTAAATTTAGAGAGCTCATTTTCCAAGCCTATTTATGCAGATGACCCAAATTTTGTCTCGATGTTGCTCAAATTGTTTTCTTATTTGTAAATGGAATACATTTTAATATGTTGTATCAAGCCCTAAATGAATGACTCATTTAATAGACACGTATTCTGAGTTAGAATAAGTTTGGAACCAGAAAATGTTATAGCAAGTGACTCCTTAAAGGTTCTGTAACAGTTGGTAATGTCATAAAGGTGGGGAAGACCAGAACAATAGGAGTGGAAGAATTAAAAAGAGAGAGATTCCATCTCTTTATCTAAACAGAATAGCCTTTGCACCATCAGGGTGTTGAAGAGCTAAGGCAAAGGGCTGCGGCACTCTCCTTGTGATTTCCCTGAGAGCACGGTGCTCTCGTGGTCATCGTTAAGAAGCCTCCGCTAACTTAATTCGGCATATTAGCTCGCAGCACGTTAATCGGGTGTTCTTAGGGGAAGCCTGGAAGGGTGGCTTGCCAAGGAGTAGCCACGCGCGGGGCTGGATGCGGAGCTTCTACCTGAGGGAAGGAGGCAGAGCGTGTTGGATGGTGCTTTTTAAATGGGGGAGCTGGAAGCCGAAACCAGAACATTCCATGGCAACTGGAGAAAGTTGTGAGGAAAGTGCAGGGCTAGCTACAGGAGCCCCCCCG